AAGGAAAGCATTTGGGTTGTGTTTTCTCGTGGGGGGTGGGGGTCATTGACATTTTTTTTTGTTAACAAATGATATTATCTTCATTGGAGGTAGATGACTTAGTTTCACAATAAGATAACATTAATGTGGTTCAAATTCGTCTTTGGCAACAATCAAATCTAAGATCTCTCATTTACAAGTAAAGAAAAATACCACTAGATCGTAGTGTTAAGAAGATTCTCAATTAGTTCATCATCATTTCTTGTTATGGTTTTTCATTAATTTGGTTAATTACTTTTTTTTTTTTTGGTATGATTTCTTTTACTCTTGCAATTTTTTTTATGGGTGCATTTTTCTCACCACGCTCAAGTGATGATAATGCCTGTCATCCCATATATGTTAAATGAGTTTAAATTTTGTGATTTATGTCTATTTATTACACATATCTTAAAATGTAAACTTATTTAACCGTAATAAATATGATGATGAGTATTAAATGGTTAGCAAAAATTTTCCCCAAAATTTCTTCAGTGTCTCAAAATATTACCTGCTCACAGGCAGAGGAGTGGGGGAATTAATCAGCTTTTTCTTCTTACATGTTCAATGGGGTATGGGTCTCATATCCTTTTACACTGGTAGTCACATTATTCACATTCGTAAGCTACTGCAAAACTACCAGATAAAAGGGGAATAGAAGCAATTATTGGAGAGATTTTTTAATGTGATCGGAACACTAGATGGTACATCATGTATCATTATACAAATAGTGGGATATGTTTGTTAAAAATGGTGGGATATGTTTGTTAAAAAATTAAGGTTAAATTGGATTAATGGTCCTCATTTTTAGAGGGTAATCGGAAGATAACCCCGTGAAAAAATTCGGATTTAAACCCTCATGGTGAACTCTATTAGGATTTAAACCCAAAGTTAACATCTTCCTCATTTGTTTGTTAACCCATTCAACAATCGTAACCAAAAGAGAAAAAAACTCATTCATCCAAGGTTATGAATTCGTTGATCCATGCTTCGATTCCATTCAAATACTAAAAAACAAAATACTGGGTTGTGAAAACTGACCTAAAGATTGAGGATGGTGTTATTGGAGCCTCTTTGCAGTAAAAGAAGCTTCAAGATTTGTAAAAATAAGAAAGAACGGCAATTTGGGTGGTAAATATAAACTTACTCAAACTTTACAAAATCTAAAGGTTAATAAATTACAAGGGATCAAAAGCTTGAAACTTCACAACCCAGATCAAATCTCAGCTGCAAATGCCACTTGAGCGTGAAAGCAAGCTCATTTTTCTGGTTTTACCGTAAAGAAAGCTCCTTTTTTTCTTCTAGGTATCCTACTTAGAGACAGAGTTGAAATTTAAAAACTCTCTCGGATTGAATTAACCCAGAGAACACAAAAAATGACACTGCTTTGGATCAGAAAATTTAAAATCCAATGAAATCTTTGGGGGAAGGGTGGGATTGTTAATTTTGGTTTAACGGAGAGCTCACATAAATGTTAATTTTGGGCTTAAATCCTAACGGAGTTCATCACGAGGGTTTAAATCTGATTTTTTCCACTACGGGGCCTATCTTCCGATTACCCTCTCACCACGAGGCCCATTAATCCAATTTAGCCAAAAATTAATAACTTAAAAAATAATTTTTTTTACCACTTACATTAAAATACATGATGTACCAATCGTATTCCTGTCACCATGAACAATTTCTCCAATTATTGGGTCTCTTCCACCACTTCCATCCTAGCCATCCTCTACTGGGTAGATTTGGCTTGAAGGGATTTGAAAAGTTTTTTTCTTCATTTGTATGATTCTTCCTCTGAACAGAGAAGATGAAGAACAGGAGGAATCGAGAAGAGGAACATTGGCGAGGTGCTGAGGTGAGTAGAATCCATCTTGCACCGTTTCCTCTCACGGGCCTGCGTGCTTCGAGGTCAGTATCATGGTTGGCCCCACAATCCCCTCTTATAAAGTTCAACGTTGACGGAGCTTGGAATCACCACTCTACTTTACACTCACGTTTATGGGGTTGTTGCCCGTGAATGTAGCGGGACTGTTTTATGTGGAGCCTCCTTCTTCTCCCACATTGCTTCTTCTGATGGTCTCTCTCACCCGTGACGGTCTCCCATGTCCTCCGCAAGATCACCATTGAGGCCTCAGAGTTGCAGCCGATCTATCTTTTGGACACCATATGACTAGTCAGTTTCGGTGGCGGAGTTGTTAGAGCAGTTATGTTTTTATTTAAAGGAATATTTAAGTATATTTATGTTTTGTTTTATTACCAATATTAAAAGTTAATTAATTTTGACTTAAGGAGTTATCTCCCCTAAATATGAAACATGCAATCAAACCGTTTTGTTTTCTTTTTCAGTTTGAATTGACTTACGTTTTGTCCCGTTGTGGTTTTTATCCGTTTTGATTTCAATTGCCATGATTCCTTGCGGTTTGGATTTCAATTGCTTTGATTCCTGACAGATTGCAATCTCAACGTATATATATACGCACACACTTCAACATATGTAAATAGACATACAAGTTATGCGTATGAAATTAAAAGGCTAAGAGGGAAAAAAAAAACTACAGCTTATATAGTTTTTAAAAAATTGAGTTCTGAAAGCAACATTTAGAAAATGTGTGAGTTCGAAGGTTCTTTCATTGTGCAAGGAAGAACTTATCAGAGGAATAAGATTATGGACTATTTTATCATGGGGACGACGTGATATTTGTGAACTACTTGCACACTTTGGGCAGAGTTACGAAACGTCTTAAAAAAAGCGATTTAGTCCGCGACTCATCCCAAAAATCATTCACCACTCAAGGCTTCTACATTTTTCGGGTAACTTCGTTCCTTTCTATTTCAGTTTTCAACACAGTTTCATGATGTGTAAGAAGGCATCTCACAAACATAGGTAATTTGAACTTAGAACATTGGAGATTGACGTAATTTGCATAAAAATAGAAAGACTCTAAATTCAATAGAGATAGTTAAAAACATTGCACAAATCCAAAAATCCGAATGTGAGGTAAAGAGTAAGCAAGAAATTCTTTAAGATATAAGTAAAAACCAAAGAAAAATTAATAGAAAAAGTAGAAGTGAAGATTGCAACGCAATAAGAGGAATAGAAAGAATATGAGGTGTTAGATTGATATGCAGTGGCATCATCATCTGTTATAGTAGCAAGAAAAACAAAATGCGAGATCGGCGAGGGACCATTTTAGTCCCTCAGTGGCTCCGTCACTGGTTAGTTTTTCTTAGTTTGCATCGACTCCACCGTCACTTGTTTTTTCAACGGGGCCTTTCGGCTCCCCCTTTGTTCTTGTTTTGCCTGATTTGAAAATCAAACAAAATTGCGCATAAAGTAGTGAAATTAATCTTGTAATTGATTGAGCTTTTGGCCCACCAAAGAGAAACTTGACCTGCCACAACCCTTATGCGCCGTTGATTATTGTTCACCAAACCCGGAAAGGTCGATGTATTGGTGTTTAGGAAACCAGCAAGTCCGCAACAAAATTTTGACAACATGCAAGATTCGTGACAGAAATTAAGGACAAACAAGGCCCTTTACTACTGTGCTGGAAAAGAGTTGAGCTCTTGCATGACGGCGTGGGTTCAAACTGCGTTGGTGGTTAATCTAACAAGATTTATCAACTGACGAAAAAAAAAAAAATTAAGGACAGAGTATACTGGGGAAAAGGAAAACACAATAATAAAACGACTAAAATGTGTAGACCAAAGTCAATTTGGGTTTAGGAGGCAAAGTGATATATACTCCTTGAGCTCGAATTTCTTCCTACAATTTATATTATGTTTGGATGAAGAAATTTAAGATTACTAAAAAAAATTTAAATGATGGAATTTTATTTTATAGAATTTGTGAATTTTCTTGTTTGGATAACCTAAAAGAACAATGGAATTGAATACGGAATTTGTTGTTTTTGAACTCTCAATTGTAGAAATTGAAAAATGACACCTATTTACATGAAAATTAAACTTGGGAATTGGAGTTCTCAAATTACAAGTTTTTTTCCATGTGGAAATTTCAAATTTCTATATTTATGAATCCAAACAAGGGAATTAGTGCATGTCAATTTATAAATTCTATATTTAATTCAAATTCCAAGTTTATTTCCCCCATCCAAATAAGGAATTTGCGATGAGTAGATACAATGCATTAATACATATGGTCATATAAATTTCTTGTTTATTTCTTTTGTAATAATGATGAAGGGCTCATTTGGAAATGTATTTAAAATGACTGAAACCGTTTTTGTTGATAATGTTTTTAAAACCAATTTTTAGTAAAAATCCAAGTGGATCTTGAAAAAATACTTTAAGTGTTTCTTGTAAGAAGCATATATCTGGTTTTTTTTTTCCCAAAAAAAACACGTAAAGTGCTTTTGGAACCCCATATAAATTTCATTAAAAACACTTTCAATCATTTTAAAAACATTTCCTGATCTATAAGATTGAAAGTATTTTTCTACTAAAGTGTGATTATGGAATCCTCACAAGATCACTCCCCAACAAGCCATCTAGCACATATGAAATCAGAAAAGTATGAGTTTGTCTTACCATTGAAAATGGAGAATCAAATTAATTAAGGAGGGTAATCAATTAATCAAATAATTGATTTCGTTTCTTTACTTTCCCTATTCCTAATTTCTCAGATCTTCTATTCATTATAGGTAGTGTGTCCACACCGTCTTTCAATTTTCAGCCATCGAGTTGAATGAATTAAAGAATTTTTTATCATCGAGTTGAATGAATTAAAGTAGATAAATGATAAAAAATTAACAAAGATGTCGGAGGTAGATACGAGTGTGAATAGCGCTATGTCTCATTTTATATTTTTAAGTAAACATGTGCTTTTGTGGAAAGAAACAGGAAAGAAAACAAATCATTAGGCCAAGAATTTTCAAGTGGATCGGGTAAAACTTAGACTAAGCCCGGCCCATTTACGTTCCAACCCCGTTTAGGAATTTCCGCCACCAAAATAAAGAATGTCCCCAACAAACATAACTCCGTTTAGATTTGGCGCAGAGAGAGCTCCAATGGCGGGTGACACAGACAGCCCGTCTTCTCCCCAAAACAAACGGCGGAAAACCCTAAAATCAAAAATCGAAGAGGACCCAATTCCCCACGAACCCCAAGAACCTGAAAATTCATCTTCTCAGCGATGCCCAATTTGCTTCCTGGACGGTGGCAAAGTGATCAGAGGCGAAATCGATTGCTGCGACCACTACTTCTGCTTTCTCTGCATTATGGAGTGGTCGAAGAAGGAGTCGCACTGCCCACTCTGCCGCCGCAGATTCACCACCATTCGCCGGCCGCCGAAAGACGGCGTCTTTGCCCGCGAGCGAGTCGTCAAGATTCCTGCTTGTGATCATGTATTCATGTTTTTTCAATTTAATTGTATTTCTAATCTGGGTTTCGTATTTTTCGAATTGGGCTTTTTCTGGAACGGGTAGATTTTCAAAAATTTATGCTTAAAGTTTGCAGCTTGCTAACGTTCGGTTAGTGTTTCTGTCACATTGTTGGTGTTGTAAATTTACAGTTTGCAGCTTCCTATCAGTCTGTGTTTTTTCAAATTTATGTTTCTGTCGCATTGTTTGTGTTTACAAATTTAAGTTTATGTCGCATTGGTTGTGCTGTAGTTTATGTTTCTCCGACATTGGTTGTGTTCTAGTTCATGTTAGGGTTTGCAGCTGCTAACGTTTGACGTTTTTCGAATTTAAGTTTCCCTCACATTGGTTCTTGTGTTGTAATGCGCAGGCTCACCATCCATCTAGCAACATGGCCGGGCAAGTTCTTCGTCACGAAGAAGTTTCGTGTCAAGTGTGCCACGGCATGGCAGATGAATATCTTCTGTTGCTCTGCGATATTTGCGATTCAGCTGCTCATACGTACTGTGTTGGACTGGGTAATACTGTGCCCGAAGGTGATTGGTTCTGCCTTGACTGCACTACTATTAGGGGAGAACACGATGACAACGTTGATTCTAGTTCTGATTCTGACGATGAATATCTTTTAGGACCATCAGACCCAAATATATCGGCCTTTGACATTGTACAAGAATCATATGGTCATAGCTCGGCGGCTAATAGGTATCTCCCAAGAATCCCTAGAATTCCAGACCACTTTGCACTTCCAGTTGTCCGTGACAGGTACCAGTATCGCGGATGAAGTAATTACCACGCCAGCAGAAACACTACCAAGTGTTGCAGCATCAGGTGCAAGAACATTGGTTCACCGTCGCTATGTGTGCACTCGAGTACAAGAACTCCGCGAAAATTGGAATGCCATCCAAAGTGGTTCATTGAGCTTTACTTCGAGTTCAATTAAATCTGGCTGCATTAGTAGTCAAAAGCCTAAAAATGGTGTGATAATCCATGAAAGATCAGGCCAAACACAGTCCTCATCTTCCACAAGTGGTCAACAACCGAGAAATCGAGACAGTTGTGGCTTAAGTGATATCGACAAAGCATGGAAAATGATGGAAATTGCAAAGTCAAGAATGGATGCTGGTAAAAAGTGCAGCGGCAGTTCCGTCAGCACAACAAGTGATTCAAGAAAACGAACTAATGTAAATCCTTGTTTTGGTACTTCAAGTCAAGCACAATCCTCATCTTCCGCAGGGTGTCATCGACCAATAAATCAAGTTGGTTGTGGAACACGTGACATTAAGTCGAAACAGCACGTTCATACAAACACCGGCAGCAGCAGTGGCGTTCAGCACCCAAAAGTTCTTTCTGGGATATCAAGTGCTTCAAAAGAAGCAACAAATGTAACATCGAGTTCTGATATTTTGAGAAGCCAACAACTTGGAGCCTGCGATGGGAGAAAAACCGGAAAGGAGTCCTACAAATGCAGTCCTCGTGAAAAAGAAACAATAAGACATCAACCTGTAAAGTTGGAAAAGGATACGCAGTTTAGGGTTACGCCTCAGGATGCAGTCGCGCCTAGCGAAGGCCCTTCAGCTAGACATATGAAGCAGGCTGCAGCAAACATCATTCATGAGCAAAATAGGTCTGCTTGTTCAGTAAATGAAGGAGCACCTTCTTCTTTTTATGCCAAACCAGAGATCAGTACTTCTTCCAGTAAATTAGATGCGCAGAAGAGAAATATTGGCCGGGGAGAGAGCTGTGTGGAAGGCCAATCAAGAAAAGACGCCAAAAGTGAAATCGCGTCTGTTGTGAAGGTGAACTTGAAGATGTTAACCAAAGACAAACCATTAGGTATGATTTTTACGTCTTAGTTTAATATTTGATCCATATACATATACTTATCATGTTTAATGCTATAGTTTGCAAGTAATTAGGGCAGGTAGTACAAACTTAAGCACACTATCGCTATTTTAGGACATCCGCTTTTATATTTACTCTCGGAGCATCCAAGAATTACTTTGACGACAAGTATTCCTTCAACTTCCTGGCTCTTATAGTAGACAGATATTACCCTGGCTCTCATCTCTGATCGACTCTAGTGCTGGCATGATGGAATGTTGAGTACGATAAGGGAAAAGCGATGTTGAGTTACTTGAGTACGATGAGGGAAAAGCATTTTACATTTCAATGCATTGTTAATTAAACAGAAATAGTTGGGCTTCTTTTCACTGTTTGATTGCCTTTTGATGAAACAGATGTGTTACTTGAAACAGAAGTTAACTAATTTACTCGAAATCTTTTTGTTTTTTCAGGAGTGATGCATTCAAGGAAATTGCAAGGCTTTCCACGCATACCATTTATGGCGCATGTGGTTTAAAGCGTTCAAAGTCTGGTATGTACTCCTTCCCTAGCTTAGAATGCCCCCACACCGAGCAGTTTCAGCCGCCGCACAAACCCAGTCCGATGCCAAACTCTTGTCGAGCTTGCTTTGATGGTTTTGTGAAAGGCGTAGTCAGCTCTATTCTGTGTGGTTCAGCTGGTTCCACAAAATTAAGCCGAGCTCCATCTTAACCGGTTCCAACTGCCACGGTTCAGCCACGAATAAAGTAATTTCTAAATTTTATGATGAATCTTATTCCATAGGAGAGCAGGAATGTGGAGTAATTTCGCGGTAGTATCTTATCTAGCATATCGAGATTCATCCCGTATTTAACTCAGGTGCAAGGAGTCGGGGAGCCCTGCTCTGACTGACTTAAAAGAAACTACTTTCAGAATATATATAACCATGTTGTATTTGCTTTTCCTCATATCTCTCTGTACTTTCTCTGCTTTTCTGCGACTGTTTTCTTGCCATACTCAGATGGAAGCTACAAGCATAAAAACAGAAAACAAAGAACACGATTTCATCTTTATTCCTGCACTTCAGCTGATCCCAGATCCTCTTGATTCGGAAACTATCTACATTTCTATATCGTAGGCTGCTTCCACCGCTGACGACGATGTTCTTTGATGCTGCAGAAATTAGAGAATCCCAAATTCCCTAACGAAAACTGATAGCAGCTTGTCCTCTGGTTCCATTCTTCTATGTCAGACTAGAAGTTGCAGACCTTCGGTTGCCAAAGGCGGGGTAAAGAAGCTCCCTGAACTTTTCAAGGAACCGAATCCATTCATCCTCACACATATCAGCAACCTTCAAGAAGCTTGCTGAGGCTGGCAACTGATCATTTCCATTCTTCTGATTCCCGGGATGGTACCTGCTCGCTGTAGCCGGCTTCTCCCATCCACATCAGTTCTTTTCGGGGGCATGGACAATTTTGAAGCAGTTGGATACCAATTTGGCTGGGAAGTGATTCCCTCAGCCCTATCTTCATCCTCTTCCAAAGTCTCATCTTGCTTTGAGAGCAAGTCTCGACGAGCATTCTCACAATCCATATCAAACAGAAACTCTTCGTTTCCTTGTTCGGCCTCAAAGTTTGACAAGTTCGAATCTGCTATGTTCGTCAAAGGCATGCAGCTTCCAGTTCGCTTGGTTTCTCGTCTAGTCCACTCTCTGACGTACACAAGAATTTCTCAAATACAACGTAGTTAGATGGAAGCAGATACGAGGATTGGGTGTGTGTTTGACAAGTCACGCGGTCTGGATGCTCGTACTGAAGTTTTTAAGTTTCTCTCCTACAAGTCGAGAATGCTAGCTTGGTCAGTATCGACACGTAGTGTGCCCATATATCATGAGTGCGTAGCAACACCATCCAAATTTCCAACCTCATAACTAGGCAATCAAGGTTCACATTGCACCATGTGACACCCAAACACACAACAACCCGCAATGTGCTCAAAACACTGGCAAGTGCTGCCCAACACCGAAGCCCTCGGAACACTAATCATCCGATCTTCCATGCCAATCCCAAGCTTATTTATTTCCCTCGGTTGTCGGAGACCAAACCGAATCCCTTTCGGATCTAAATAAACCGAGCCTTCTGAGTAAAGAATTCAGATCGTTAAAATTTGATCAAATGGTCACATACAGGAGGACTCTTTAAAAGTTATAATAATTGTAACTGTTTGATCAAATTTCAATTGTTCGGATCATTTGATCTTAGACTCAGTTTAATTAGGTTTGAAGGGAATCCGGTCCCGTCGGGGACACCCCCACCTCTCCGGGTGCCACGTCGCACTCGCAAGGACCAGGCAAAGCCACACGCGAAATCACCACGTGACCACGCCACGTCACCCACCACATCCTTTTCGCAACCCATTAACGACAGGTCACTCGGGAAAGGCAGGCGCATGCCCCCACTTGAATTTGTTGCCCTTCCTCTTTCGTTTTTTCCGGGATGGGTAATTCTCGGGCCCCACCTTCCATCCCCACGTGACACCGTCACGAGAAAGAGATTGACGGATTTAGATTTTCTCCCGAGTTTAGGAGGTTGAGAAACTTACACGGACTGTTGGATTTTGATCAAACGGATATAATTATTATAATTATTAGAAGAATTTCTTATTTATAACCGTTATATCAAAATTCAAACGATTCGTGTGATTTGTTCAGGAGGTTCTGCCTTTCAAGCACAGGAGAGGATCCAAATCCGAGATTGACACCGCCACCGGCAACCACGTGCACGTACCAAACAGTGTTACGCAGAGAGCCGTAGATATGTAGGCCTATGCCCTAAGATAGGGTAGCTCTCGCAACCTATGAAATCCCAAACCACTGCGTGATGCGGCGGTGCTACTTCCTCATATGACGTCACGCAAAACTCCAAGGGGTTGATTAGGTATTTCGCCAGCATAACGACGTTAGCAGACAGTAGCGGCGGCGTAGGACGGCGTTAGAAAAGAGAGGGAGGAAGTAGGGGATAGGCGTGGGGAGAGATTGGGGTCCCCACCGCACGAGCCGGCAGGGATTGATGAATCATGAACGGCAGGGGATGGGCTCACGTGAGGGGTGGCCTTCTCACGTGCGTGGTGCTTAGCCGTTCGTTTCGTTCTCTTGCTCTCTTCGGCTGAGTGGGAGTTAGGGGTCCCGTCACGTCATTGCGACAACGTACGTATGCATATCACATGGGCAAGCCCAGTACAAAGTATTCCCCACCACCAACCGAAAACTGCTTTTCCCAGTTTTCTCGTGCCCAAAAAATCCCCATGGGAAGGAATGACTCCCTTACATTCTTGATACGTAACCGTGATATTTCAAATCAATAAAATAAATTGTATATGTTTCATATTTCTACATTTGCATGACTTTATTGGTCTTGAATGTTACAGTGACGTTACAAAGTGTAGAAAATTTGTTCTACAATTTATTAAATATCTCACATAGGCCAGAGAAAGAAAGAAAGAAGAGTTCAAATATCTTAATCCCATTTTAACTAATACCGAAGCCTTTTGTGATAAAATCTCACACTTAAAGGATTGTGCACGTGGTAATTAACAAGTTATCGACAATATTAGTGTTGTTGGAAATAAGCTTTTAGCTCGTCTCTCTAATAATTTGACATGGTGTCAAAGCCACAGAGCAAGCCGGTACTGCAACATTGACTAGAGAAAGAAAGAAAGAAGAGGAGCTTAAATATCTTAACTCCATTCTAACTAATACGAGATCCTTTGTGATAAAATCTCAAACTTGACGAATTGCGCAGTTAATAATTAACAAGTTGAAAACAATATCGATGTTGTTTAAAGTAGGACCTTGACCCGTTCTCTGAATAGTTCATAAGTAATAACCAGCAAATCTGAGTCACTTGTATTGAACAATAAATTTATGTACAGTATAGACTCCCCAAACCATACTAGATGAGAAATTTTTTAATGTGATGGGAACATGACTCCGTACACCAAGTGTCATATTTTAAGTGATTAGAAATTAAAAAAAGAAAATCTCTAACCATTTATAATATGACACTTGATGTACCGGCCCGTGTTATTTTCACACCGAAAAATCTCTCCTACCAGATCTTGTTGTGCATGGCCTTTTAAGAAAAAATGTTTGGGAGAACACTAACGCCGTCAACTAACAGGTGAATGCCGAAACCGCTTTTCAGACGATTCCAAAACCGTCTTCTCAATATTTTTTTTTTCTTTCAAACGGAAGAAACGGGATCGAGTAATAGTGGTGTGGGGGGCCCACCCACAACTCAAGGGTGAGTTGGCCACGTGATTTGGGAGGCTGACGAAGTGGTAGGCAGACATTTTCAATCACGTGATGGAGCGCGGATTCCGCGGGAATACTGACACGCGTCCACGCCCGTAAAAGTCGTGGAGAAAACTAATTGGTTGCTTCCTAATACGATGATTTAATTAAGCAGAAATATTAATTAGTTTAATCAAATATGTCAGCGAGAGAGGCTGTGAGGGATTAGAGAAAGGAAAATCCAATTATCCTAAAACGCCAGAGGCAAAGCACAAGTGATTTGTTAACTAATCCCTAAACGGATTCCTTAAGAAGGGAATGTCTATGTTTCGCCGAAACACTCTGTTACTATAAACAAAAGGCCCCCCAATTTTCCCATAATTGTTTAAACTCCCCCTTCTAGTTTAATGAATTCGACTTTAATAATGAGGGAGCGGAAGAGAGAGGGTTCGTTTGAAAATGCTTTTAAAATTATAAAAATAGTTTTTGTGAATGTTTTTAAACCAATTATTAGTAAAAACGTAAAATGAATTCTGAAAAGCATTTCAAGTGATTTTAGAATTTTTTTTAAAGCTCTTTCAGTCATTTTAAAACCAATTATTAGTAAAAACGCAAATGAATTCTGAAAAGCATTTCAAGTGATTTTAGAACTTTTTTTTTAAAGCGCTTTCAATCATTTTAAAAGAACTTCCAAACGAGCCCAGAGTTACTATGTTGTACTTATATGATATATTAATTAAATCAAAAGTTTGCATATCTTTTTTCAAATTGAATAAGTAAATCGAAAACTTGTTCATAATTACGGATTCTTCTTTTATTTTCTTTTAAAATTAGCTTAATTTTATATTAACATACCAATTATTGGTAAAGCTTTCGATTTAATATATAGGAAAATGAGATTTCAATTTTGATTTCTATTCTTTTGGATTTGGCTAATATTTTTTCTATGTTCTTGCTATAAAATTTATATTAAAAAACAAATTTATAAATAAAATATTGGTGGTATACTTGGTACATGAACCAAGTATACTGTCATTATGTATTGGAATCTTTAATCACTTTTTCTATAAGTTGTTTCTAATCACTTTATTTTTAAGTTATTTAGTAGAGGTAGGGTTAGCATAAAGAAGTGGTCACAAATAAGTAATCATATATTGTTTAGGGTAATAGGTCCTCTAATTTTTTATGATTACTATAATTAATTTCACCATCTGGAACATAATTGTTTAAAGGAAGTATCAATGATAGGTTAAAGGTCTTCATGGGATAACATAACCAACATTATTATCAATTTAATATTCGTTGCTTACGTCCGAGATGACTCGTATTCAAGTTGGATTTATTATAACACTTGAATTAGTAATAGATAGTTGTTAATTTATAAATAAAGTTCAAAATAAATGAACTAGTGTGATCCTCAAACCGTTAATGTAGTGTTATATATGAATATGTTCAATTATAACATGTGTTTCTATCTATCAATATTCTCCTAAAGGGTCATTTGAAAACAGAAAATTCATTTGGTAATTACTTTCGGTTTTCAAAAAAATGAAAACTAAAAGCCAAACTTTAAAAACTCAAGAAAGTAGTTTTCGCCTTTTGATTTTTAGTTTTCATTTTTTTGAAAACTAAAAGTAGTTATCCAACGGTCGGGTTTTAGTTTTAATAAAAGTGAAA